GGATGTGGTGGAACAGGAGCTTCGGGCCCTGGATGTGCATCCCACAAATCTCCATCAACTGCAAGATGCTATCCTATCAATATGGGCCAACATTTCTAAAGAATGCTTTCAGCACCTTGTTGAATCAATGCCACATAGAATTAAGGCAGTTCTGAAGGCAAAAGGGGGTCAAACACCGTATTAGTATGGTGTTCCTAATAATCCTTTAGGTGAGTGTATATATATTACACACACACACTATATAGATGACAAAATTATTGGGACACCTGGCCATTACACCTAAAGGAACTTTTATGACATCCCATTATAAATCCTTAGGCATCAGTATGGAGTTGGTCTCCCCTTTCCAGCTGTAACAGCTGCCACCCTTCTGGGAGGGCTTTCCACAAGATTTTGGAGTGTGTGTGTGGGAATTTTTGCCCATTCATTCAGAGTTTTTATGCAGTCAGGCTCGTAATCTCCGTCCTAGTACATCCCACATCAGACTCACTCAACCATATCTTTATGGACCTGGCTTTGTGGACTGGGGCACAGTCATGCTGGCACAGAAAAGGCCCTTCCCCAAACTCTTCCCACAAAGTGGGAAGCATAGAATTGTCCAAAATTTCTTGGTATGCCAAAGCATTAAGAGTTCTCTCCACTGGAAGGGGCCTATAGCCTAACCCATGGAGAACATCAGCATACCACCAAACCTTGCAGTTGGCACAATGCAGTCAGGCAGCTGTTTCCCTAGCATACTATGACAGTGCTACACTTGAACTCAATGAGCTCTTCTGAACAACCCATTCTTTCACAAATGTTTGTACACCTGAGTCCATGTCTAGGTGCTTGATTTTATACACCTGTGGCAATGGGTCTGAATGAAACACCTGAATTCAATGATTAAAAGCTGTGTCCCAATATGTTTCTCCATATTGTACATCTTTCATTAGTGAAATCTTAATTGTAATTCACACAAATGCTCCACTTCATAATGAACATTGTAGCAATTTTTAATTGTTTGCATAATAGGCCTACTAGTCATACTACGAGGATGTTAACATTTATCATGGTTACACTTATATTTTCACTAGCCATAATTCAGCAAGAAAATAGAAGCTGCTATTAAGAAAAATTAACATCCATAAGCGGAATGCGTCACCCAGTTCCTGCTTATCACCACAAATAGCTTCTCTATAGAATAACTAATAAAGGATGTTACACTGTCCTGCTATAAGAGTTCATTTGCAATAATCTGTCCATGTATTTTCTGATCAGGGTGAAAATCAGGGGAAGTAAACAGATAATGTTTGTATAAAGCCTCAACCAACTTTACTCATTAATGAATTGTAATTTATTGGAGTTTCTGTCAGGATTTTGTTCATGGTGTATCTTGGTTAAGAATGTTTGGATGACGGAGCGATTGTGTGTGTGGGTGCCTGTGTAGCTTCAAATGTAGCTTCGGTGTGTGGTTACTTTAATATTTATGAAAAACATTTATGGAAGTCTGTGCCTTGTTACTTAAAACGTTTTCCCTATTAATGAAGATTAGTGATAGGTCTATTGCGGTTTTATACAGGGGTTGGTTGAGACTTTAGTTACTTTACACTTTTGAGGGGCTTTGTCAAATTTGTATTTTATTAAGTACACACTTGTAGGTACATGTTTTTTTCCAATGGTGTTTGCAGTGTCTGGGGATATATATCATGAAGAAAAGAAAAACAAATATTCTGAGATATGACAGCTGGTGTGCACACCAATGAAAACAGCATTATTTTTCATGTTTAAAGCAATAGTCAATAATAGATTTCAGTGCAAATAATTAAACTTGCAGACAGTATAAAGTAACAGAAGTATGCAAATGTTACTTTCAGACTTCAATAATGAGACGGATGCTTCTGTTGATAAACATTTATTATCCATTTGCCATTTACACACATTAATAACCACAATAATCGATACTAAAATATATTAATAGATCTGAGAGTATAAAGACGGGTTCAATACAGAAACAGGGAAAGAAAGTGTTTCACAGACACCCCCATCTATTTTTTTTAAACAAAGCACCCAAGTGTCATTAGTTATGACTGTCCCAAAAAATATATACAGCTTGTGTGCCCATTTAAAAAGCTGAACCATTACTTAGAGTTTTCTCCTACAATACTACATAAAAAATCTCCTCTGCGCTACAAGAAAGGACATTTTCATTGAGTACAGTTTAGTTGCAGTCCTACATACAGTACGCTGTTCCTAATCTTGTACGCTTTATCATATATAAATAGTATTAAAATACACCAGTGGACAAGAGTGAAGACGTGGCCCTGGGTTTGAGTGGATCAGATGGCTGACCGTTAGGCCTACTGATTGCACTACAGTTAATACATCCCATCTAAAGAGAGAAACAAAATTAAAATGAGAGAAATGTGGTTCGTCTTTCAAAATGAGCCAGTTCCCACGGGCAGATTCTTATGCTGAGCCAATAATGTATAATGCCAGCCAAAGAGTAAATCCCGAAATAAAGTCAAAGGAAGGGCTAACCCGGTCACTTGTTTACATGTTCAATAAAAAAAAATGTCTGATTGCATCTAATCATATGGGGGGGGGGGGGGTGGTGGTGGTTAGGAGAGTTTTCAGTAATGGTGTCTATTTCTACATTGCAAGCTGCGGATTTAATCTGTTGTGTCACTAAAATAATCATCAGGATGCACAAGGGTGAATGGAGCAGCATTTTAAGGTGTGCTTCGTGTGCATTACTGATGCCTGCACTACAACCACTACAACCAACCTACAGGTGCAGAGCAGCCCTTAGCGCGTAATAAACCCGTGCATTTACATCAGTTAGTCTCTATGCTTTAGCATCCGTGTCACGGCCATGATATACGACTCGCGATATTGTGTAACGAAGTGCATTCTGTGCTCGGTTACAACACAAGCCGAGGAACAAGTACAGTGCTGTCTCTGGGCTTCCCAGCAGCAGGTTAATAACTGGGAGCCAGAACAGTAATGGCCATCAGTGCTTGTCAGGCAGGGAAAGGCACACGTGTCATGAACTTTGTCTTCTTACATGCTGCTTTCACTCTTGAAAAATAGCGGAAGAAAAACACAACATCGCTTAGTGAGAAAAGCAAATAACGTCATGGCAAAATAAAATACGAACTTGGCAAAAAATTGGGGGGAAAAAAATCAATAGGGGTGGGGTACAGTGAAGCGTGGTCAACGTATACAGGAGCACAAAAAACTGTTTTGTTATGGTTGGTTGGGCTTTAAAGTGACACGACTGACGTCAGCAGCCTGTCTGCACCGTATCAGTTCATCATCATGACTGTTCGTCTGCAGCCACCATTCACCTAAACTGGAGGGGAAATTTCAGAAAATGGTTAAATAGGGCAAAATGCTGATTTATAACATTTGTATGCTTCCACATACTGTGTGTGTGTTTTTTTTTTTAATATAATTAATGCATTACTTTAACATCCATCCATATTCTGTAACTGCTTGTCCTATTCAGGGTCTGGAGCCTATCCTGGAGGCTATGGGTGCAACGCAGGGAACATCCCAGGATGGGGCGCCAACCCATCGCAGGGCAATATTAAATAAATAAATGTAATGTTATCTAAAGCGTTGTACAATTGAGAGAGCAGGGCCAGACAGTCCCTGAAGCAATTGGGGTTAAAGGCCTTACTCAAGGGCCCAAACCATTATGCTGGGATTTGAACCCATCACCATCAAAATCATGAGCACAAGGTCCAAACCCACAGAGCCACACATATGAAACAGATATGGCTTATTACAGGAAGCATCATAGCATGGTCGAGAGAGAAGTGAGAGAAAATAATTCAAACCGGGGTCATCATACGACTGATGCCTACTATGCTGTAGCTCAGATGCTAATATCGTTTGGGTGTTTGCTCAAAGTCCCTCACCTGGTTCTTGGGTGGGACGTTGGGCTTCTGGGCCAGTGGGGGTTTCTTCATGATGGCAGGTTTGCTGGGTTTGGGTGAAGATGGGGAGGCGGCGCTGGTGAAACCGTTGCCCTCAGGCAGCGGCTCTCCAGCCAGCTCGTAGTGCTTCTTCCGCAGCTCGCCCAGGCGCATGCGCTCGCTCTCCAGCTGCGTCTCCAGCTCCAGGACCTTCACCTGCCACGCGAGGGTGACATGTTACGTACAGGACTCGCCAAACACCAGAACTGAGACTTTCTCCAGACTACACTAAAGTGGCTTCCTCTCTCAGGTTACCAGAATACTCGGTTTGGACCCCACCGCCTTAAAATAATTCACATACAAAATTAGATTTCAAAGAATAATGACTTTTCTGCCAACCCCACACGGTTTCCTGATTTTACTTAAATACGTGGACAGAGGACATTTAAAACTAGTGGGGGGGCTTCCAAAACAGGGACTTGTTAAACAGTTTGATGGCTGACCTGTGACTCCATCTCCTCTTTCCTCAGCTTAATCAAAGACATGCCTGAGAAGTCCATATTATCTGAGAGAGGAGGAAAATGAAAGTTACTGCATTCTACTGGTAAGACAGATGTTTTTTGCAGGCTGGTCTCCAACTGGTTCCTCATTGGCCAGAATCTGCCTGCTCTGCACCCTTATTGGGCAGCATGACTCGGGGCACTCACCCCTCTCCTCGATCTGCTCCTGTCCCGTCTTGGTGGAGGCCACCACTTTGGCTGCCATCTCATTGACATAGCGAGAGGCTTGCTGAAGTGTCGTCAGTTTCCTGCTGTTGCAGTCAGCCTTCACCTGTACCCCGGCGATAGACATATGAAGGCTGCCCCAGGGTTCTGCTCATCACTGGCTAAACATCACAACCTTAACATTGACAACCAACATGTTACTAAGACCATCAACGTGACAGCCACTCATGATAATGTAAATGTACCACGAAATGAAAGGTTACCTTGGAAAATACTATCTGGCAAGTTTGAACTGAACCGGGTGAGTATTAAAACAGATGGGAGATTTCTCAGCTTTATTTAGAATGGAGGAAGTCAAGGGGAACGAAGCATGGGACCGAAAGAAAGTGACAAGCAGGACGGGATGTCAGTCTATCGTGGGGCATGGACCGCCACCACTGAGGGCATTTCAGGGATGCCAGTTCGTCTGACCACAAGTTCCTTTGGCTGTGGGAGGAAAGTTGGGAACCTGAAGGAAACCTATGCAAAGTGGGCCAATCAGACCTGGCCAGGGTCTGATTGGCACAAGGGGGCCCCAACAAAGTAAGATAATTTTTTTATATTACACACACACAGGCTTCTCACCAAGAAAATTGGTGATTATTTTTTTTTTTTATATATATATATATATATATATATATATATATATATATATATATATATATATATATATATATATATATATATATATATATATATATATAAAAACTGAAATAAATCGCCAATTTTCTTGGTGAGAAGCCTCTTGAGTAAAGCTTTGCCTAGAACCCCTGCAAAGGTCCAGTTGGCCCTGCATAGCACAAGCATAGAACATGCAAATTTCACAATAACGCTGCTCCATATACCAGTATCAGTATTGTCGTGACAAAAATCTGAGACATAATTCTATAATTTTACAAATTCCGATATTTGATGAAAATGTGCTGTACATCTGTATTGCTAGGGCTAGACCATGTTTAAAAAGTAGCATGTTATATTTCAATTGAAAAATATCAGGATAAACGATAGTTTTCATAATCAGCACGATCACAGTTTCAACGCACTTAGCTCCGATTCCACCCCCTGATTGGCTGACAATTTGACGCCAAGGTGTTGATCAAAAGGACTGATTATGCAGTTACCAGCATGCTTTGCTCTGCCCGGCTCATATCTGTAAATAGTGAATGTGTGTATTTCTGTTAACAGTAAATGTCATAACCGTGTAATGTTTGCCATGGAATGCATGTTTCATTAGCATGTCACCGTGAGTGTTGTATAGATTGTTGGCTTCTCCATCTGTGCCGCTGCTAGTAGAAGACCAATAGCGGCTATTAATAAAGAGTGCAACTTCCATTTTAAAAGAGCTGTCATCATCTTTATTAAAATGACTCGTGCACTTGCCACATTACGCTTACTTGCGCTCTGTATGTGGCTGTGCTGTGTCAAAAACATTCTGCGCCCTCTAGTGTTGTGGTGTGCCATAGCATGAGCAAGGTGACAAGTGTTCAATTTAATTTTGTCAATTTAATTCTGTCAGGTTTGAAGTGTGTGGTCACTCTGCCTACTTCCTCAACAAAGGCAATAATTCACTGTCAGATACCCACATTACTGATGATATTGATAATTCTGTCATATCACACAAGCATACTGCATACATTAAAAAAAAGTTGCAGGATGGTTATACCGAAATCGTGCTTTGGGGAGAGACAAAGTCACTTATTTTATGCAACTCTTGTGTAGAGAAGCTATACAGATGGAGTGTCTGGCGTGCGAATGCAGTTATAAGGGGGCAGCATGTGCAACCTAGCAAGCAGCAGCCGCTCGCTCACCCTGATTTATAAATGGAGGTTAAAGACCATCAGCTGTGCATGATAACAGACATAAGACACGACAGTGATGTCATTTAGCGGTTATTATGTTTCCTGTTTCTGTTCACAGTCATGTTTAGCCTACATCCCAGTTCATTCATATCCCATTCCCCAGTGACAAAAAGTAGACTAGGCTAAATGAACAGAACACAAATACAAACCTAACATTACTGTACTATTTAATGAGGCTTTGTAACCTTTGTAATTTTGAGGGTGGATTGGCGGCACCGAGGCTAATGATCTGTCCCAGCGATTGGAAGGTTGCTGGTTCGAATCCCGTGAATGCCCAGAGTGGTTCTACTCTGTTGGGCCCTTGAGCAAGGCCCTTAACCTGCAATTGCTTTGTCCTGGGTATGACGTTAATCTACATCCAGCCCTATAAGGAGGTCGTCCAACTTACAGGGAATAACTTGGGGGTTGGTGGCAGGATTGGAACTCCAGCCACTGGGGAAAAAACTCACACTGGTCCATTCGGACTAATGTGGTTCGGAGGTATCACCTGCCACATGGCTGCACTCAGGTTCTCATCCCTGAGGTGGTTTGGTGTCCGGCAACATGCTGTAATCAGCACATGCTGAAGCCAAATTATCATCAGAATCTATGCACTGAAGGGAGTTCAATTATTCTATGCTTATTTCACTGATATTGTAAAAACTATATAACAAGCTATTACTATTGGTTTAATTCATGAACAGTCCTGTTGATGTCAGACCAATAAAATATATTTTAATGGGAAATTTTTACAGTATCGATTTGGTATTGATACCCAGGGTATCAAAGCTGATATAGAAGCCAAAATTTTGGTATCGATCCAACCCAGTTTTGCGCACACAGAGCGGGGGTGGAATCTTGGAGGTGTGAGGGAGTAGAGCTGTGTGTCACACACACAGACACACACACACACACACACACACACACACACACACACACACACACACACACACACACACACNAGAGCTGTGTGTCACACACACAGACACACACACACACACACACACACACACACACACACACACACACACACACACACAATCTCACCTTGGAGGCAGCCACTAGCTGGGCGGTGCTAGCAGCAATCTCATGCGAGCAGACGATCAGCTCTTCATACTTTCCCATGTGCAGTACTACCTTGTCAGCTGACTCACTGTGGGAAGGTTGGGGGGGGGGGTAGTCACACTCTAAACTTCCAGATGCTCTCTAATCCAGCTAGTTTGCTATCATTTCACATCAATCCCAGCCACAATATGGCTACATGCGCTCTGAATGTGGCTCTGCTGTGGCAAAAACATTCTGCGCCCTCTAGTGTTGTGGTGTGACATAGCATGAACAAGGCGGCGCTGTTTTAAGAGTTCGGAAAACCTAGCATCCTTTGACACATTTGAGAACATTTACCATTAAAACGTTATTCCCATGTTTTGTAACAATGGGGTCGTATTGAAGCACTCTAAACCTTTTCTATATTTGAATGTGTAATATATACAGAATACGTTGATATACAATAGAATAATTAAGAATATTGCTCTGTCAATACTGGGATAGTTTGGCCAAAGGACTCTCCAAAGCTGGGGACACGCCCATAAAACCAGCCCAGAATGACAGGGCAATCCTGAGAGTTCAGTGGATCTGGGCTGTCCCCTCTCGGACCACCCCCCAAGCCAATTTTCGCCTTGTACGTTTACGGGCATCCATCCATCTGCCGAGCGCCTTCATCCATCTGTCTGTACTTACACCATCTGCGTGGCTCCCCAGCCCACGGCCTTGGAGGCGGAGATTAGGCCCTCGGTCCAGCGCGAGTTCCGGGCATAGAACTCCTTCACAGAGGCGGCGCCCTGCGCAGGGGGGAGGATTTGTTACTGGTTAGTTCCTGCGGCTTTCGAGACGGGTCCACCGCCACCACAACAGAGCCATTTGCCAGCCATCTCAGGGATGCCAAGTGCACTGATACAGCATAATGAGAACGCAGTGAGCCCAGCGGGGTCTCCCAACTCACCCTTCCACTTTCCACAATCTCTTTCTGGAGGTCTGTCGAAGCTATGACAAGCATGCGGATGGCCTGCAGGGGGCAGCAGAGACACGGCAGAGTGAGGCACTCTCTGGTTCTTCAGCACCGTGTGTCAAATTGGTCCAGAGGCTCCATCTTACCTTCATTAGATCTGTGCAGCTATTCAGAATCCTGAAGAAAAATAGATAAATTTATCAATAAGACATTTTACCACAAGGTCAATTATTTTTACTTTCCCTTCCCCAAAATGCAGGATCAGCAGTGCTTAAACCGCACTATGACAACCGGTGCTTTATAAAAAAGTGTCTTACCCTACTGAAACAACATCAAAGTGGTTTATGGTTAAGATTATTCCTTTCTTTTTTAGGGCTGACTCACTGACCTTTCATTGACTTCCAGTTTGACTCCAGAGGTGTCCTTCCTAGCTTGATTCATCATTTCCTGTTGAGAAAAACAGAACTTTGGGTTTTGGAATGACCTGTAATGCATTTATCAGCAATGTACCACAATACCAGGACCACTATCAGGCACAACATGAAAAATGATTGAACAGAGTGTAATAAATTATTCACCACTAAAATAAATTTAGTACATATCCAGCAATTAAATCCTCCCACCACATTACAGAAGTAAGACTATCGGCCCAGATATTGCTCCTACGGCATTGTGGGTGCTTAGTGACAGGAAGCTGACTCACGTCAATCCTCCGCACAGCTTCCTCAATGGCCGCTGACGTGGCTGCCATCTCCTTGTCCACCATGTCCCCGAGCTCCTCCTCACGAATATCTCTGCCCTTGGGCTGTAACTCCTGTGTTGGATGGTTTTCCATTAAGTCTGTCATTTTTCCTCACTATGCATTACGAGATTTCCCATATTGAGTCATGTACTGCAGACAATGCTGGCAAGCATAGTACACCTGCATCTAAATTCCATTTCATTTTACTTTTTTATTATTTATAAAGTACAAGTGAAGATCAGGACTATGGGATGTGAATCCACAAACTTCTGGACAAGAGTACAAACCCCAAACTCAGAGTCACACACCGTCCTGCTAATTTCATGAATGTTTAGTTCATTCAAATGCAACACTAACCCCCAAACCCGCAATAGCATGTATTTAAGTCGTGACACCGAACAGACACAGCTGTGAGAGAAAATGCACACGTCCAGCCCCCCCTGGGCAGAACTGACAGCTCACCCGGCTTAGCTGCAGGATGCGCTGCACGACCAGGCGCACGGCCACCGGATCGGCTCTCTGCAGGGAAGCCCTGGACTTCAGCTCGCGAAGGAAGCTCAGACTCTGGGTGGCGCAATTCCGGCAGCTCTCCGTGAGCCCTGGGAAAGGGGGCAGAGCCAAAGGTGAGGCGTGACCCTCCTCGCATTCCTGCTAGTGGCCAGTGGGGTTCCCATTAAAAATCATGCGAGCAACGTGCTGAAATCCCAGGTATAGAAAATTACTAAACCCAGCGGTGGGGAAATAACACAGAGGCTTATGGATAGGCCCTCGTTCATTTAATCAGCTGAATTAACAGGATAATGGTTCGATTCTAAGTGAAAATTCATAACTGCAGGCACTCTCAATCCCTTGTGTAAAGCACAGCTGTGCCACAGAATTAAATCAACTGCTTGCTCAGTGGCTGATTGCTGTCTTGCGTACGACAAAAGAACCTCCCCACTTCCTGTCAATCTCCAGCTGGGAAATACATGCTTCTTAAGTGACTGCATAACGTGACGCTGTTACAGCGAGTGGCGTAAAGCTAAATGCCAACAAACCTGATTATGCTACGTGACGTGTTACTAAACTGAACTGCTAAATACTAACAAACCCTCAAAATTACAAAGGTTACAAAGCCTCATTAATAGTACAGTAATGTTATGTTTGTATTTGTGTTCTGTTCGTTTAGCCTAGTCTACTTTTTGTCACTGGGGAATGGGATATGAATGAACTGGGGTAGTATGTGTCACTGATCTGAATGACAAGGCCAGAAGCTTATGTTTACATGACTGTTAAAGCTAGAAAGCTGAGTGACACTGAAGTAAAAAGCCAAGTGAAATATGAACAAATAGAATTACTGAACTGTGAAGATAGCAAGCGCAGGCAGGCAGGCAGACAGGCAGGCAGGCAGGCAGGCAGACAGGCAGGCAGGCAGACAGGCACGCAGCATAGGATCAGGGCACAGGGCAGCCATTTATCCACAGTGGGGGGAGGTGAGCAGTGGGGGGTTGCTCTGCCAGCCTTGTGATCGGTGCTGGCGATATTAGCTTAACTAGCATGATGGAAGGAACTAGCTTAACGGACGACGTGTTGAGGGAGGAGACAGAGTAACACTCACGGTCGGCGTGATCTGTGGGCGCCATGTGTGCCGTGGCACTCCCATTAACGATGGTGTCGGCGGTCAGATGGGAGAACTGGGTGAGAGCCCTCAGCAGGCCACTGGCATCTGGGGGCCAGACAGGAAGGCGGCGTTATACAGAGGGCACTCACAGCAGGGAGCCGTATATCTCTCCACACCACATGTGGGGCGGGGCGGGGCGGGTAAGGGGCGGGGCGCCGCACACATTTGAGGTGGATCGAGTGGGGAGGAGCAGGGACGCTGTACCTCCCATGTTCCTCATGTAGTCGCCATGGCCCTGCTTCACCTTGTCAATGGAGCCCAGAGTGGCTTCAACACGGGTAATGAGGTAATCTGGGGGGGGGCACAGAAGCAGGCAGTCAGAGAGCAAAGCCTCCCTTCGGTTTGTCCAAATCAAACCACTGCTACGGCACTATAATCCTGCTGTGCAAACAATGGAGTGAATGATGTTTAAAAATCAGGTCAGTACTGGGGGGGGTACCTGGGGAGCTGGTGCAGCGCACATGCAGAGGGTCGTCTAGTTTGGCTGCAGCGTCCTGGATGATGGCCTCTGCCTCCGTCACAGTGCCTTGCAGCAGGGAAAACTGCTCCTCCAACAACTTCTGCTGCAGCTGCTCCTCCCTGCTAGCCTGAGGGGAAATGGGCGCAGGGTCAGGGGGGTCAGCGCCTCCCCGGTGCAGCCAGATGGATGGCGACCTCCCCCCCCACCCACCTTCTCCTGCAGCTTGCCCTGCAGCTCGCCCAGCTCCCGGGTGCTGCGCTCCCGCTCCTGCTGCAGGGATGATTGCTGCAGCTGCGCATCCTGCCGCAGCGAGGACAGCTCGGCCTCCCGCTCGCTCACTGAGCGCAGAAGCGCCTCCTTCTCCGCCTGCAGCGCCGCCACGGCGCCGTTCAGCTTCTGGCCCGCCTGCGGCACACGCAGCCACACAGTTCATGACGGGGCAGCATCAGTCGTGACGCAAGCAATGCGATTCTTGAACAATCGATGACTTTCCTTCAACTCGCTGAGGTCCACGGAAATGAAGAGGGTTAAAAAGTTCAGCGTGAAAGGTGGAAAACAAAGATGGAATTGTGTGACTGAGTAAGGGATGGGACAAGCAGAGGTGGTGGGAGAGAAACACCTCTAGCAGCTAATATCACAGTCACTATTTACATGCACACTAAGAAAATCAAATTACTGTGTTAGTCTGACTAAAACCACACTTTTAAAGTGCATGTAAACATGTTAATCTGACTGAAATCGTACTAAAGCAAATTTCTCAAAGACACCCAGATAATGCGATTGGATGTAGTAGGACTGGACGACGTGCGATATTAATACCAACGTCGCATGTTATGCACATACAATTCTTGCATCACCTTATTAAGATCAGGCTTTTTCTTACCTTCAATTTAGTATGAATATTACAGCGCAGGGAGTTTATTTACTCTGTCATAGGGGAAAAACAAACCTAACTAGTTTTGCCATTTTGTTGATTGTTCATTTTCAAAATTATCTAGTATATGTTTAAAAATTAGTTTGAAGTTTTTGAAGATGCTTTTGCATAAGCGCTGCACGCGCTCTCCGAGACAATCATAATCATTTTCATCCTTAATTGTTGTTTAAAATCACTCCTAGACAGGATTCAGAAATTTGTTGAACTCCTTTTTTGTTTCATAAATACCCCAATATTTAACACAACAAAATCACATTGCAATATCTGAAAATGTTGCAATATCAGGCTGTCATAGTATATTATACAAAATACCTTATTTCTTGTTATGCTATCCTTATCTTGTTATATCTGTTCTTCCAACCAAATCACAATTAAAGCTTGTGTCAGTTCCATTTGTCCACGCATCTATTACTATTTAATGAATTTCATATATGTGACATAATAGGTCACCAGGAAAAAGCCCAATACCAACAAGCTGAAAGGAGCCATATCGCCACCTATTGTAGCAGAGTCAGACATACCTCAATCAATAAATCAATTCCCTACCCGTGCATATATGCTGGGACAAGGACAGTACTGTAGTCCGATTAAATAGCATAGCTGAGCTATAACCGTAACTTATGTAAGCTGTGCCTGCAAACGTACTGATCAACTTCATTCATGCAATGAGTTGTATTTGTCAAGAAGAGTACTAGTTCTTGTTTTCACATTGGCCACTTAGGACAGGATATGTAGTTGTGGCCTGGCAGGGGGTCCTTTGGTCTGGTTCTCTTTATGACCCAGTAAAAAATCAGCCACACGCAGGGCCGAGCGGCCAAAGCCGTGATCAGCCACACGCAGGGCCGAGCGGCCAAAGCCGTGATCAGCCACACGCAGGGCCGAGCGGCCAAAGCCGTGATAAGACACACGCAGGGCAGAGCGGCCAAAGCCGTGATCAGCCACATGCAGAGCCGACCTGCCCTATAGGCGACACAGGGCCCAGGGTGCCCCTTTTATTAGGGTTCATGAAAAAGTGAGTGAGGGGGAAAAAAAAAAGACATACCTCTGGTTGCATTCTGTGACGTTGGCAATAATTTACTGCAGTTTTAATATTTTAATACTTTTCTTGTGAAGATGTGAGCTAGCTAGTTAGCAGCCAGATACTCTGTGCTGCTGAGGTTACACACTGAAATGTTTCTCATATAAATTAACTGCCAAAAATTGTTTTCTGCTCCACTGGGGGGTTTGGGGGGGGGGTACTCAGCAGAACCTCGATTAGAGCTCCAGCACACCCTGAGACAGCCCTGGCCTCACACCCCCAGTGGCCGATGCCCTGATCAGTTACAGGTCCCGATCGCTCGGGATCGCTCGCACTTTCTGCCTCAGGGTGTGTCACTTGTCCCGAGGGTGATGGGCCAAAGCTGTGGGGGGGGGGGGGGGGCAGGAGTGCTTTCAGTTCCTATGAATGTCTTTGACACGGATTTGCCTGAGGGATATGGCTCAGCGGTTTGCATGCGATTTGTATGCTGAGTCCATCAGGGAAGAGCTGCCACCCAAACACACAGAAACTGGGCCAGACAGTGTTGCTGTGGAACAAGCTGGGGAGCAAAACACTGGCAGGGTCCCCACCATCCCCAAGGAATCACTGAATTACAGCTGCCCACTAACTCAAGTAACGCAGGCCTGATCGCTGGAAATACAGCCCGACGATTAAGTGAGCACATGTAGGACAGGAGGAGCCACAGGTCTGATTTACGTGTGACTGTCAGGCTCAGCTGCAAGTTTCACGTGCCTGCATGTATTTTTTAAAAATCTGATAGAAATCTGACAGCTGATTAAATCAATGAGGGCCGAACCGTAAGCCTCTGTGTTATTTGCCCACTGCCGGGTTGCTTTATTTTTTGAACCTGGAATTTCAGCACATTTGCTTGAACAATTTTTAACGGGAATATCGACCCAAAACACATGCAGAACAATTCCTGTTTTGCAGCTTCATCTGCTTTAAATTAAAAGAAAAAAACAAGTTTTCAATCATCTCCTATTATTGAGGTCTGCTGGTTTGAGCTTCAGGGCTCCTAATGACAGATACCAGGCATTGTAAACTGAATACAGCTCTCCCTTTACACATCTGTGTGTGTGCGTGCGTCTGTGTGCGTCAGCATGCGCGTGTACCGCAGAACGCTAATAACCCGGAGGGTACTGGCTAAGCTGAAAAAGGCTGCTTGAATTTTTTTTTTGGGCAAAACAAAAAAGCTACAGAAAAAAACCGACATATGAACAATTCGCTAAACAACTAGTGCTAAAACATGACAGGGGGGCATTGGGAAATTTTACCGCTGCTGATCAGTGATGCTACATTGTTATTTATTCTGTGTGGAAAGCGATTGACTTGCGATGATTAAAAACTATACACATAATGCTCTTTGGCCCAATTTTGTTTCTGGTTCCACTAACAGGCACCCATTTCCCCATAGAAGCTGTAGGTGTAGTCTTACCGCCAAGTTGCCCTCCAGCGCCCCCTGGATGCGGGAGACCTCATTCCTCTTCTCCTCCAGCTCCCGCCTCAGCCGGTCCATCTCGAATTTCTGTTCCTCTAGCTGCACAAAGACAGACACATGGCCGCGTTAAATGACGGGGCTTGAACCCCAGCGAGTAGGAAGAGGGGGTGGGCGGGGTGCGTGCGGGCGACCTCCTCCTGCGTCTGCTGCGTGGCCGACAGCATCTTCACCGTGTCTGCGCTCTGCAGCCCAAAAACAAAGATGGCCGGGCGCTTGAGAGCCACTCACCCATGTGCTTCCATAGTCAGCCCCTTGCCGAATGCTCAAAAGGCTATGTTTGAAGGTGCATGCGGGCAGGCAGGCAGGCAGACACACACACACACACAGAAATACAAACAGACACACATATACAGAAACAGAGAGACATACAGAGAGAGAGTGAAAGTGCGAGTACAGTTTAAGAAACATGGGTAAACATTTGAATGGAAATGAGCAGGTGCACTTGTGACACTCAGAGGGTCCAGACAGGGGAAGCGAGGGGGAGCAGAACGGTCAGACAGAGGATGGAAGCAGGGGATAGGGCGCTGTGAGAGGTCAGAGGTCAGCTGGGGCTCACACCTTCCTGAGCAGCTCGGCGTGGCTGCTGACCAGCTCGGCGTGCTTCTCCTTCAGCTTGGCGTAGCGCATCTCTGTGGCCTGAGCCCGCTCTAGCAGGAGACGGGGAGACGCGTGGCTTTACGTTACTCCCACCATACCCAGTACCCCTATGATGCTGGCCCTGATGGACCATGCGATTTCACAGGCCAGACAAAACGGCTTGAGGGTCAGACTTCAAACCTCCTATGGCCAAGATGCCGTCAGCATTAATATGTGCGCTGCTCTCTACGTCAGTCCTGCTTGTAGATGCTGGTCAGAGTTGGGTAATTCAGGTCCAGAGAGTAAAAATCCAGACCGGGATTTAGTTTCAACCAACCAGTTGAATACTCAGTGGCTGTGACTCTTTATGCTTATCTGGTTGGTCGAAACAAAATCTTGGTCTAGACTTTTACTCTCTGAACCTGAATTACCCAACTCAGGTGCTGGTGTCAGTGTTCATATGCAGAGTTATTGTTGGAGTCTGGACCATTGTCAGAATCAGAGTTAATGTTAGTGTAGGTGCTGGATTTAGTGTTAGTGTCTGTATTAGTGTTAGAATCAGTTAAAGCCAATGTTTGCGTTAGTGTCAGTCTACAGTCCAGTCACTGTCTGTAAGGATCTGTGCTCGGGGCCATGACCCAGCAACAGCATCAGTAAAGGTGTCCGTGCTGCGCGGGGTGGGGCCCTCACTCTCGGCCTCCATGAAGGTGGTCTGCAGGCCCTCATTCTCGGTGCTCTGCCTGCGCAGGGCCTCCAGCTCCATGCGCAGCTGCTCGTTCTCCACCAGGGCGCGCTGCTTCTGAGCTCGCTGTTCCTCCAGCTCTGCCTCCAGGCTGTTGATCTGGGACTTAAGCTGTGTGATGAAGCGCTGGGCCTGGTGGGGGGGGGGGGGGGGGGGGGGATACACAGCGTGTTAGCCAAGGTCACAGCCAGGCAGGTGCTAAGGTAGCCCAGACACACTGGTCTGCATCCCCCTCCCCTGTGACGGTCCGCCCCACCCTCTCCATTCCAACACCCTCTGTCACATTCCACACCAGCAAAGTACGGTCTGGCCATCACACATCCCAGCAGCCCCATCCCCATTTTATTCCCCAATTATGACCTTATCTTTATATTTCATATCTTACTCTCTTTTTACATGTTATTATTGTCTTTTTAAGCACAGCTGCCCGGAGTGACCAGGGTCACATTTCACTACATGTTGTATGTGTACAACTGTGTATGTGACAAATAAACCTCTTGAATCTTATGAAACATGGCAGGGGGCGGAGCCTATTGCACACACACATACAGAGGCTCCCTGTGCGTGGGGGGGACCCATTCCCCTGCTCATCCTCACCTCAGCTTTGATCCTCTCCAGCTCCACCCGCAGCAGCTCGATCTCCCGCTTCAGGTTGTCTATCTGCACGTCTCTGTTGGCAGGTTCACAAAACTGAAGGTGGGCAGACTCCCCCAGCCCCACCCTCAATGGGCCTCATTCACCAATATCATCCTAATATTTTTCTTACATTTGTCCTAAGAAAAATCTATGCCAGATCCACAATGTGTTCTTAAACTGCAGAACTGTTCGCAAATGTGCTCCTACAATGATGAACACCATTGTCCTTGTGAATTTAAAGCTTGTGCCAGTTGTTCCTAATTAGCACAAGTAAAAATGCCTGGCCAATCCCCATAAAAGGGCATGAGACTGCAGGGCTGTGTGTGTGGGTGCAGGAAGAAGGGGGTAGTACCCCCTAATGTTTGGGTCTGGATCTTATCGATTGATTTACTAGCACTAGTAAATGAGAATTTTCTTTTTCCTCCATATTGGAGTTTTTGGGTTTTATGTCCACTGTTCATAACAGCACCTTGTGCAATTAAGCGCGTTTCTTAGCTTTCATTATGAATCAGCATGTTACTGACGCCAACATAAAAGTTTGGAGTTCATTTTATCATATGGATCAATAAATATTTTGTTATGTTCAGTTGTGACACTTCACCCTAAACAGGGCTAGTCTCATTTTAAATGAGACTTGCATCCTAAGTGTGGCATGTGTGCCCATTGTGATGTCACCACATATATCACAACCTCCCCCAACCGACATGGAAAACCTGGTCGCCCCCCCCCCCCCAATGTCAAAGGTCAAAGTCATTCCGATGCCACTGTGTATTATGGTAATGTTAAAGATTATTTAAACTCAAAATTATAAAAATCGAGGAAAACTTAGTGTCCCTGGCTGTGTGTACACACTGAAATCACACAAAGAAATTAAGAGAAAAGTTGAGGGAAATCAAAAATGTCCAAGCAGAAAATTTAAAAAGGGTGAAATATTGGGCTCCAAATTTAAGAAAAACTCCAGCAGTGGAGATACTGCTCCAGGAAGGCAAGAGCAAATGAGTTTGGATATAAACACACAAAAGGATGCATAGGATGCTATTACTAGTTTTAGTAATTTAATCATTTAAAAACAGCTACTAAATACACTAATGAATGCCAGAATCTTTGTGAAAACTGTATAAGTGACTTAAAAAAAAAATTAAGAATGGTTGGTGAATGAGACCCACTGTGTTGCACCACCACCCCGCTCCCAAAGAGCTTACAATGACAACGACAACCCTTTATCAGCACTGACCTTAGTGGTTTTGTCTTAAACATTATTCACATCACTAAAATTAATATGCCATTCATTGTATGCTTTTATAGATTAAAAGGTGTCCCCAACAATGTTCATCTTTTGTTATTTGTTCACTCATTTTCTGGGAAACTTAAAGTTTGGCAAAGTTACCCAGAATTCACAGCCTGGTTTGTTGACTATGGTTGAGGAGAAAACTAAACCACATGCTACTAGTTATTTGTAGGGCTGCCACGATTAGTTAATGTAGTCAATGTCGTCGACGCTGAAAATGTGTCAACATCAATATTTTAAATTGACTTTATTTTAATGAAGTTACCATTAACTGGTTTTAGGGAGCAGAAATATAAAGTACAGGTATTTTATGGGACC